GGAAACACATGTCACTCGAATAAATATGACCCATTGCATGTCCCTGTCAGCTGTCACCTCAGAAGACTGAAAAAGATTCAGGTCTTCATATACCCATCAGCAACCACAGCAACGGTCTTCCTCTTGCCAAATGCTTGTGCTTTTCTTAATGGACCTCTTCTTTTGAGGACTTCTTGTGTTGTTTAAAACTCACTTCTTTATTGATGAGGTAGATTTTCATATTTTAAATGCACATAGAAAATTCACCCCAAAACCACCTTTTGTTGAAAATTAAAATACATATGGGAAATCTTGCCATGCTGCCAACAGGGATTTTCGGTGTGTACGTGCACACACGCGCCTGTGTACACAAGCAGGTGCATGCACAAACACATGCACATTCACGTGTCCGTTACAGATTTTCTGGAAAAGGACTGTTCCCCTGCGTGTCCTCAAAGGGAGAACAGAAACAGGGGGAGCGGGCAGTGCTGTCATACAGCCACTCTCTGCTCCTCCACTCCAACCTCAAAGGCAACCAGCACCAACAGTGAAGTTCCATCTTCCCACAGGTCCTGTCTGGTCTTTCCCCTCATCTGCAGGCACTGTCAGGGTGCGAGGCTGGGCCACCCCTGTCCTGGCATTGCTCTGATGGCAGTGCCATCAGCTACAGAGGGGGAGAATGGTGTCTTCAGAGCCTGGGATGTGGCAAGGGGATTTTAAAAAGGATGCTCGAGACAGCATCAGGACTTACTGATACTGCTCTGCTGAGTTCTCCACATCGCAACCCTGCTCCAGACCTGGGTTTGTTTCATTATCTCGTCTTCCCAACCCAAGCAAATCTGCTGAGCAATTTTAAGAAACAGAGAAAAAGGCTGTGACCAATTTTCAGGCCTTCTGATTTAGCCATTAAAAAAAAAGAAAAAAAATCCTACAATGTTTCCCTCTTGTTTTTCTAAATAAAAATAATGTATAGCCCTAACTTGATAATAAATATGCTCAAAAGCTGTCCTTAAGTAAAAGCTTTTGATAACAAATTGCCTGTGCTAACTGCTATTTTACTGTTGAATTTTTTTATTGTTGCTTAAGCACTGCAATTATGCTAATAAGCCTGAGAGGATGGTACACTAAAGCATTGAATGTGACAGATATAATACTCAATAAAATGTTAATCTTACCTGAAAATTGGAATCAAACAGCCTTATTAGTATTTATGGATATGGCATCTCCAACATGTTTCTTAAGAGGTATATATATATGCAACGGATATTTCCAAATATACCCTGCTATTTCTCATGCCTCCATACGACTTAATTCCAGGTGGCTAATACCCCTGCAGCTAATTGCCAGTCCCTTTTCAAATAAGAGAAAAAAAAAGGGTGCCAGGATCTGGGCCATGCAAAACTCCGGCATATTCCAGGGCTTTTCCCCCAGGCACCCCAAGGATGGCAGCTGTCCATGGGGATGGGGACACCTCTCCCCAGCTCATGGCAGGGACACTGGGCTTGGGAGGGTGCAGCGGCAGACAGCAAAGGCACGGCTCTGCCATGCTCAGTCACCTGATTTTTCCCCAATGTCTCTAGTTTTATGTGCCAGGAAGGTAAATCCTGCAAAGGGTTATTACAGGTGCTGAAGAAACAGCTTTTGGATTTTAAGATGGGACTAAACACCGATTTATTTATTTTATTTTTAAACTTTTCAGCCGATGCTGACAACCAACCAGACCCATCTGTTTCACTGCAAGTTACACCATAGCAGAGTTGGACCCAGAGCCACTGGGCTGTTGCAGGGGATTTGTTGCTGGGGTACTGCATGGCTCCCCACAAGACACATTGCATTTTGCACTGTTATTTCACCACCCAGATCAAGTCTGATTTCATAATTCTTTCAGGGAACAAGCTGCCTTTCATCACATGTAGTTTGTGTTTTTTTTTTCCCCCCTGGCCAAACCTATGGGTCTCAGACCCAAGCTCAGGGCTCCACTGCTGTGTACTTCCCTGTGGGTGAAGCAAGAGGTCTTCAGCACCTTCACTTTCTCATCTATGATGGGAGGAAAAAATAATCTCAGATGAGCCACATGCATATTTACATCCATGGCCACGTTCTACAGAGAAACCATTTCCACACAAAGGACCGGTGTGGTTTTCCAACACTGCAGGTTAATGCTTAAGGAGCAGTTGCTGGCTCCCAGCTTCACTCCTCATGCTGCTAAGAGGTCTTCAGCACCTTCACTTTCTCATCTATGATGGGAGGAAAAAATAATCTCAGATGAGCCACATGCATATTTACATCCATGGCCACGTTCTACAGAGAAACCATTTCCACACAAAGGACCGGTGTGGTTTTCCAACACTGCAGGTTAATGCTTAAGGAGCAGCTGCTGCCTCCCAGCTTCACTCCTCATGCTGCTCCCACCCACAGAAGTCAATTCTGCTGACCGGACCACAGGAACACCGATAATCACCACAATACTTTCTGACAGACAAGCAAGATTCTTGCCCCTGGGCGCTGAAAGCCTCCTCGGAGGCAAATGTTAGGTGGGAGATGTCCAGGAACTGTTTCGCTGAATAGTCACAGCAGAGAAAACCCAACCAGCTGCCCACCAAAATGTGGGAATCCCAAAGCGCTCGAGGATCACAGTGAGCAACCCACAGGGTGCTATGCACAGCACACCGGGATGTGCTGGGACTTTCTTGAGCAATGCTTGCAATGCACGCCAGCTTGCATTCAGAGTTTGTTTTGCAGGACACAGAGCTTAGAGCAGCTCCACAGAACCTCATTTGCAGGTGTAAGCAAGGAGCACAGCATCAGAAAAAAAGGAATTTTCAGTTGCGAAATCAAAGAAAACTACATAGTCAAGTAGTCAAGTGAGCTTGCACCTCAGGGCTCCTCTGCCCCAAGTCAGCCCCAGCACAAGATGCCAGACACCAAATCTGCACACGCAGCCAGCAGGTTAACCAGGCACATAGCTGCAATGTGCTATGGGACCGACTGAAAGACAACCACTCCCATAAAGGTGGCAGGACTCACCTCTGCCACATTAACCAAGTCTTGTCATTATTTTCACCCCTGCAGGGAAATCTAAATTAAACTTTGGCATATTGTTTTCTTTTGCTAAGCAGCAACGTTTCAATGTTAACTCTGGTTCTGACAGACATGTTTATGGAGTATTCTTTGCAAATAATCTTACCCTGACCAGTCCGAAAGGTCAGAATCATAGAAAAATAACAATAGTGAAAAAAAAAAAAAAAAAAGCAGAAGGCTGGAAAACCACCATTGGCACAACCCCTCAACTTATTAACCATCCTTGCAACAAGGTGAACTGCAAGGTCTTAGATTTAATTGATTGATTGAGATCAAAAGATCACGGGGCACACAGTAAATTGTATCTTTCCATGAACGTATTTTGCTTTCAAGATTTGAGCAGATAGTTGCAGGAATTGAAAAGCTCAAGAAGAAAAAAAAAAAGGAAAAAAAAAGAAAAAAGAGAAAAAAACATTTACAAAGGTGACTTCAGAAAGGCATCCCCTCATTTCTCTCTTGACATCATCTGTATTTCTTAGAGCTATTTGAAAGTTTCTTCCACGTTCCTATACCCCTGGGACACAACAGCTTATCTCTGCTGAGCAGAAGATGATAACAAACAATAAGACACTGGTATAACTCCAGAGGAGACACCAGTATTTGCTGACATTAAGGATGAAAGGTAAATATTAGCAAAACCAAATGAATCCCAAACAGAGTCCAACAGGAGGCTGAAGAATTTCCCGCTGAATTTCAGGAGTCCTAAGACACAGGACAGGTATCTCACCACCCTTTTTAATCGGACCAAGGAAGATGAGGCACCTGAGCCCTGCTCCTCTCACGATGGTGGCTCAGAGGCTGCCCGAGCCCAGGATCAGTTTATTGTTTGCAGCTCCCAAGGGAGAAGCAAAGGAACTAAATGAGCAGCCATCTTCAGGACATAATTTCAAGACCCAGCTGGTGAGCTAGCATTTTGAACACATAAAAAGCCTGCTGCGTTCACTGTCAAGACAGGACAAAGAAAAACAATGGAGAACAGGAACAGAAGAAGAGAAAAAAAAAAAAAAAAGAAAAAAAAAAGAAACTCTCCACCATCTCATCAGCCCCTGGAATCCAAAAGGAAAAGTAATCATTTGGTTCCTGTCTATCTGTTCCACGCGATACTCATATTTTGCTCAGTCTAGCTGTACCTGTGGCATCGTGTTCTCATGTCACACTAAAATAGATGAGATTGCCCACCTATGCATAAGAGTAAAGCCCTTACATGGATCACAGAGGAGACCCAAACTCCCAGGAACTTGTTACAAAGGAACCAGAATAGATACAACCTCTTGTTTTTCTCACAAACCTACATTACATGCCAAGGACCGAGGACAGAAGTCCTTTTCCAAAATCTTACACTTCCCTCCAGAAGAACATGACCATTCATGGTAACACAGACACTGAGCACCAGAGTTAATTGCTGTTGCATCAAAGCTTATCATCAGACCAGGCGGCTCCTTCTGCACAGATACAACGAGCTTTGCCTTTTACCTTACATGTTTTGAATAAGGTTGCTAAGAATTTCACATTCTCCAATTTCTAACCATCAACAGGTAGGAGGGCTCTCCAGAAGTCATCTAGTCCACTTCCCCACCACAAGGAAGGATCAGTTCTCCTAAACGCACATCTGGTGGAGCTTTGCTAACTTGCTCTTAAACCTTTCTGATGACTGAAACCTCCTAAGCTCCTCGGGCAATCCACTGCAGCGCTCAGCTCTTCTTAATGCAAGAGATCATTTACTAATGTTTCACCTAGATTTCTCTTGCTGCAACTGAACCTCGTAATTTGTCTTATTTACAGTGGGCAGATTTACAGTTTATTGCTTCTCTCCACAAGTTCACTATTTCCAAAATTTACAAGCTGAGGCACCGGCATGGCTTGCCCTCTCTCTGCCATTCTGCTTCTGCTCAAAGCACGCTCTTAATCATGTGTCTCTGCATGTGTATTTCTCTTCTTACCCCGAGAGATCAGGCAGCTAGGGTATCACAAGGCAGTTTCAAGAGAAGACGCTCACATCCAAAGGCTAATGCATTCAGGCACACCCAGTTATAAAGTATTCTGAAACAAGAAAAAGAAAGGATTTGTCTTTAGGATGGTTAGGCAGAGGGTCCAGTAGGAAAGAAAAACCAACAGCTCTGAAGTGCAATTTCTTCCACCCCATTACTTAACATTCAAATGTATCTTCAGAAGCAGCATCAATGACTGTAGATACATCATGCACCACCACTAAAACTTGGCCACGTTTTCTCTGACAACCACCATAAGGGTTTGATAAATTTGTGTTCTAGGAAACAAAGTACTTACTGACTTTGCAGAAAGTTCTGCCAAGCTATAAGCAACACCCAGCACATATCAAAATCAGATGGCTCTGACTCCAAAGCTTTATTCACTGTGACAGAAGACAAATCTTAATGTAGCCGCCGGTGACTTTATTTACAGTGACACTGAAACTAACAGGGGCAAGACTTCTAGTCTATTCCGAGATTTGAGCGTGCGTAATTATGGGATAAACCCAGAGGAGAAAAGCCAGGTCTGATGAAAGATCAAGTAACTTTTGTGTTCCCAACATAGTCCTCACCTCCCGAACTTCAGAATGTTCTACCTACTAAAAAGAAATCTTCCTCCTGAACCCAAGGGTTTGGTGATGACAAGGAAAGAGTAAAGAAAGGATTTATATGAGCAGCATTTGGAAACACAGGGGAGAGCTCTCTGTAACAAAAAGAACCCGAATTTTATGAGAGAGAACCGTCAACAAGGGAGAGCAGCAACAATATGTTTGCTGTCCTGCTTTTGGAGGCTTTCAGAAAAACAGAGCTAGATGGTAGCAGACAACTTTCCACATCAGCTTCTTTCACCAGTGGATCACCTTTTGCATCCCATCTTGTCTAAATTCCTGCCTCCCCTTAACAGGGGCTGCTGCTAGCCCCAAAGGATCAAGTGGCTTTGTAACAAATATGCCTTTTCCGAGGGCTGAAGCCAAGAAACGCTCAGTTTGCCATTTGCTGTGAAAACAAGATGCCCGTTGCACATCTAAGGAGGTACCAACCCAACAACCCAGTGTCTTCTCCCTTGTATGCACTCTCCGACTATCCCTTTCGCTACTGCACTTTGTCCATCTCCAAGTTTCTACTTGGGATGTTTGTTTGTTTGTTTTTTCCTTTGCAATCCTTCTCAGCTGCCCTGGGCTTTTGCTTTCCTTGATCACTTCCACCCTTACAGATGCAAACACTTACAGGCAGCACAACTGCTGTCAGCACAGGAAGGTGACGCGCTCCTATTTAGCACAGACTTGATAACAGAAGTGCTGTTTCCAAGGCTAAAGAGAAATACCTGCACCAATAACGGCCCTACAGCAGCTGAAGGAGACTGAGCAACAAATGCCTTTCACTAAAGACGAAGAACCCAAAGTAATCTCAAAATGTACGCCGGCTAACTCATAAATACATGCCCATCTTTAAGAATGAAGGCAGCTCCAAGGACTTAAACAAGATCATCTGCAGCATCAGACACGTTACCTCCCAAAATACTAGTGAGATAAGGATGTTTAGCAAGGGACACAGATCTGAGGAGTGCTTCCACCAAGAAAATACACCCATTTCTAAGGCTGAATTATGACAGCTGTTGAAAACCATGGAGTAGCATTGAATGGCAGCCCAGGACAGGGAGCCAAGACGACTACCACATGCAATTGAAACTGCCAAGGGATTAAGTTAGGTCAAATGTAATTACACAAACTGGAACCTGGCCAGGGTACTGGCTGGTTTAAGAAAATTAAAAGAGGTGTTCAAAAGTTTCAGAGATGGAGTCCTCCTCCTGTTAATTATTCGGTGAGTCAGTCACTGAAGTCTCAGTACTCTGGGAGGCTGTCTGAAAAGGGGGAAAAAATGAGGCATAAACTTGAAAGGCATTAGAAGCGATTAGCAAGAGCCTTTGTTCTCCATGGCAATCCTTGCTACACCAGTGTGCGAAAGTCTTTCATGTTCATGCTGAAAAGTGGCCTTGGTTCCTTTGATACTTCTGGGAGGAAGCTTTTAAATTTACAAATATCCCGCTGTCAGAAGTTACAGACAACAGTCAGGGAACTTCGGCGTGCGTATCCCAACCAGGTCGTACCTAGCTCTAAACCCA